AGATTTTTGAGAGCATTTTTCTGCATTCCCGAGAGCTAGCAGACATCCTTCAAGAATTTAGGGACTTTAAAAAATCTCGACCTCAAATAATGTATGCCAAATTCTTAAAGAATCTCTGCAAACCCGTGTTCCTCAAGGTTCTTTGCTAGCCTGCCCTTCCTCAAGGTTCTTTGCTAGCCTGCCCTTCCTCAAAGAATCTCTGCTAGCCTACCCTTCCTCAAAGAACTCCGCTAGCCTACTTTCCACAAAGAATCTCTGCCACGTTGCCACGCAAAATCTGCGAGTTCTTAGCTTCCCAGCCCCTTGAAAATGCAAAAATTACCAAAATCCCTCATTTCCAGAACATTCCTCGAATCCGAAGTTTCAAACACCAAGCTCCGCCCGGACCTCTACGACAAGATGGTCGCCATCGACCCCGACGAGCCCACCGAGGAGGAGCATAAAAGGAGAAGGTACGCACATTAATGATTGTCCCAAATTAGGGCAGGCTAGCAAAGACTTTTCAGGAATTTTAGACGCAATTTATCGCTTTATTTTAGCATCACGAAGCTGCGTTACATGCAGTTCCGCGAGGGGGGGAGCAGCTCCGCCCAGCTCGGCTTCCGGATTGAGGCCGCCAAGGTGAGTAGCTACTCAAAAGAGGGAGATTGATCTAATTTTCAAAAAGCAAAACTTTGCCTCGCAGGGGATTCGAACCCGGGCCGTTTTCTTGGAAACCTGGAGCACTACCACGTAGCCATGAGGTGATAAGCTGAATTCGCTCGTTTGACCATCCAATTTTCCACTATTTACGCCTTGAACTTCCTGCGCCAGTCGGTCCGAACATCTCCGCTTTTCGCCACGTTGCGTCAATGACTCGAGTGGGGTGTCGTGTTGGGGGCAGACAAAAGAACATACATCACTTCGCCTTGCTTTCCGGGGGACTCACTTGCTCGCCATCTATTTGCCCATCAGCTTTTCGTCCCCGGTTTTTTTAATCCTATTCCCCCTCACCGGGGGTCTCACAATATTCGGAGGGCGCGAAAATTGGAACGAAAACGCTAAAAGTCTTAAGAAAAATTAAAAATTTGACTCGTGTACATGGCTAACCGGTAGTGGTCGCGTTTTCCAGGCAAACGACCGGGGTTCGATCCTAGGGCTGGTCGAGGTAGGCCAGCAAAGGAATTTAGGGGCGTGGATGGTAATGGGCAGGCTAGCAGAGAGTATTGGGGAATCGGCTTATCGGAGAAAGGCTAGCAGAGATCATTGAGGAAGCGAGAGCAGGCTAGCAGAGATCCTAGAGGAAGAGACGGCCGGCTAGCCGAGATCATTGAGGAAGGGACAGCCGGCTAGCCGAGATCATTGAGGAAGCGCGAGCAGGCTAGCAGAGTTCATTGAGGAAGCGAGGGAAGGCTAGCAGAGATCATTGAGGAAATTAACCTATTAGCTATCTCTAAAACGCCCATATTCACATCACAACTTCCAGATGCCTGGCGGTTCACTCCAAAAGAACTTCAAGAAGGTGCGGAGCTGGGAGGACGTCTCGGCGACGATGCGCGAATTCTTTGGCGCAGATGTGAAGCGAGTTCGTCAGGCTATCCTAAACCGACTCATCAAGATGCGAGACGCCGTCGAGCACAGCGAGTTCTTTGCTGCACATGAGGTATGAATTCCCTGCACCTGTTGAGCTCGAGGTTCAGGTGGTGGGCAGCTCTCTTCTGTTGATGTACGACAGAGATCAAGTGGGGGTGTGGGCGATCGACTTCGCCAAGTCAACACGGATAGAGGTTGGGAGGAGGTTGAGCCATCGAGACACGTGGACACCCGGGAATAATGAGGATGGATATCTGATGGGGATTGATAATCTCATACAGGTTTGTTTTGGCAAGGGAGCAAGGATTCTTGGGGAATTTAGCGGGATCCGGTAGGGTAGGCTAGCAGACATCATTTGCGGAAAGAATTCACTAACGCGCAATCGGGCACAGAAAATTTTGAAGCCTGAGAAAGCGGTAGAGAAGGCGAGTGAGCGGGATAGAGAGCGAGAGGGGTAGAGAGACAGAGAGAGACAGAGAGCGAGAGAGAGATGCGAAACAAAGAGCGAGAGAGGTGCGAGAGAGAGCGAGAGATAGCGAGCGAGACGGAGTGCAAAGATAAACTATGCAGCGCGATGGAGAGGGCCTGAGAGAGAGCGGAGAGAGTAAGAGAGAGACGGAGTGAGAGTGAGAGAGAGCGAGAGAGAAGAGGCAAGCTAGCAGAAACGTTTTTGGAAACCCCCGGAACTGATGCCAAGTAAACTCGAATAAATTTTTGTGGAAAATTCAAGAGGAGGGATGCTAGCAAAGATTTTTTGGGATCGGGGTTGGACTCATTTAAAGGAACCCTCAAGTCAAATCTATATCTCCGAATTGCAGATTGTCGAAGACCTAAATGCCGAGGATTGAGGCTGCAGAACAGCCATTTCTCGTGTCGAAAACGGGTCGAAAATCGAGGGGATCGCCACCGTATCCAACGCCATAATACCGTATCGCTGGGCCCAGAGAAAAAGCGGAAATGGGCGCATGAAATCCAGATTTCCTCATCATTTCCACAATGAAAGTACAAACTATAAACTACATCCCTCGGCTCTTGTACAGTTTTTCTTTGTCTTAACTATCCAATTTACATATTTCCTTGTATTTTTGTTTTGCGCATTAATAGTAGCGTTGTGAAAACTAGATTTCACTTTCCCTTAACCAATTAAATTGATTAAAATTTATTTTAATGAATTTTTACAATTCCCCCTCGTACAATTTATTCACTTTCCCCAGCGCGCCTTTCATTTGCATAATACTCAAGGAATCAGGATTCCCTCCCCCAAAACACACACACCAACTTATGCTAATTTCTATGTTTTTGGCTATTTTTGAAAATTTGAATAAAGAGTTTATTGAATTGTTATAGGAAATATTTTATACAAGCAAATACAGCAAAAAAAAACTTAAAAAATCAGTAACTCTGCTTTCTTCACATTTTCCAAACAATCTCTGCTAGCCTGCCCAAATTTTCACCAGTTTCTCAATTAAAAATTTTTCCCTTCAACCGCCCTTTGGAAACTTCCCTATGCGTCATTTTCAACGGCCAGTTTTTGTCGCCAAAAATCGCGCGTTGATGAGAAATACCTTCCGCGAAATCTCAGGGCGCTACAATTAGCACCTTGAGACACCCGGGAACCCCGCCACAGTTCATATTCACCGAAAGATCGTTTCCAGAATGGACTTTTGGACCGTCGTCAACACCGGGCAGCCGCTAATTTTGAGTGCGTAATCGGTTAGATCGGGTTCAATTAGCGGTTTTTCAGCGTACGCCGTCCTCATTTCAAATGTGGCCGTGCTGGGGTACTGTATTGCACGTCGGTTGGTGGGGAAAGAAATGGTGGTTACGCTATTTCTATGCTTCGTCGACTCTATCTACGGGATTTGTGCGTCGATATCGATCACACGAAGATTGTACTACACGATATTTCTTGATGGTGAGTAGAGCGAACTCCCCAAAGATCTCTGCTGGCCTGCCCTCGCTTCCTCAATGGTATCTGCTAGCATGCCCTCGTTTCCACAATGATCTCTGCTAGCCTGCCCTCCCCTTACTCAATGACCTCTGCTAGCCTGCCCTCCCTTCCTCAATGACCTCTGCTAGCCTGCCCTCACTTCCTCAATGATCCTTGCTAGTCAGCCCTCACTTCCTCAATGATCTCTGCTAGTCAGCCCTCACTTCTTCAATGATCCCTGCTAGCATACCCTTTATTTCCCCAAAAATCTTTGCTATGATTTTTTCTAGGCACCCAAATGGTGACAAATCGAGATTGTATGCGACTTGGCTACCCTTTCTTCCTGCTGCTCAGCTTCAGCTACATGGGTGCAGCGGATCTCCTATTTTCCCTGGACAAGCTCATGATGATCCAATTTCCATTCCACTACCGGCAGATGAAGACGAGAAATTTTTATGTGGTGTTTGCTGGTGAGTTTTGAGCCTGAGCCTAAGCTTATGTCACGCCTAAGCCTAAGCCGATGCCTAGCCTAAGCTGAAGATTAAGCCAAGCCTAAGCCTAATCCATGCTACTTTTTCAGTAACCACCGTAATCTGCATGGCCTGGACTGCCTGGCTATTCATCCAATGGCTTCTGATACCCGAGTGGCAGACCAGCATCCTGTGCCAGGGCGACTACATGCCGGCACGGATCCAGAATCCCGCAATTTTTGCTCAATTTATCACCACCACCCTGTCGGTCATCGCCTACGTGCCTGTACTTGTTTACGTTGTCCGCATGAGAGTGGGGAAACTCACCCGGAATTCCGATTACGAGAAGAGAGCAGCGAATTTGGCGATTAAGGGATGTAAGTGGGGAACTGGCAGAGATTTTTGAGGAAGCGAGGGCAGGCTAGCAGAGATTCTTTGAGGAAGGGTAGGATAGCAGAGATTCTTTGAGGGATGGCAGGCTAGCAGAGATTCTTTGAGGAAGGGTAGGATAGCAGAGATTCTTTGAGGAAGGGCAAGCTAGCAGAGATTCTTTGTGGAAGGGCAGGCTAGCAGAGATTCTTTGAGGAAGGGCAGGCTAGCAGAGATTCTTTGAGGAAGGGTAGGATAGCAGAGATTCTTTGAGGGATGGCAGGCTAGCAGAGATTCTTTGAGGAAGGGCAGGCTAGCAGAGATTTATTGAAGAAGGGCAGGCTAGCAAAATCCTTGGGGAAATTACGGATCCCACTCGTTCCAGCAATCCTCATGGCAGCCATCTTCGTGTCCTACGTCGTGCCAGACATCCTTCGACTCGTCAGCTTTTCTTTGTATACCTCAATGTCGACCTTGTTCTTCAACCTGAACTCGCTGAAGCCGTTGGTCAACGTCTGCTTCGCGTGTCTCATTATACGAACGCTTAATGCGGACAAGTCGGCCGGAAAGACGATGTCTGTTGCTACACATGAGACCCGATAAATTTTATTCAAGCTGTAAGGGGTTGTGAAGGATGGAAGTTACTAGAAATAGCATTCTCTCTCTCCATCTCTCTCTCTCTCTCTTTCTCTCTCTCGCTCTCTGCGGGCAAGCTAGCGGGGAAGTTGCGGATTTCCCGATGCTCACGCGGTCAGTCCAAACCCAAGTACGAATGACACCTCCGTACGCCTCGAATTTCATTCTAGGCTCGGCATTGAACATCAGAATTGCCAAGCTTTCGTGAAATTCCCAGAAAGTACAATATTGAACCAACCGAAAATCGTCTATCGAAACTGAGGGTTCCCGCGCACCGTGGATTTTCAATGGGAATTTGTCCTCAATGTTTTGTTCAGTTTCGCGTCACGCTCCCTTCAATAATATTCTCTATCATAAAGTATTTTTGCATTATATATGCCATTTAGATTAATTCGTGCTTAAATATTTTCAAATAACAATATGAATAAAAATAATAAGATTCTGTAATTTTTAGCGAATGTCCACCCCGTGGGATATTGCCAACATTGCCGTTCAAAATGTTGTTAGTAAGTTGGTTAAGCCTAATCCAAGCCAAAGCCTAAGCCTAAGCCTAAGCCCACCCCAGCTGGGCCTAAGCGTATTCCTACTTTCCAAGATACGATCGTTCTCGCCTCGAACCTCGGAATCCTGTGCTACGCTGCTTGGCGTGGGCTATACGGGCGCAAGGAGCTGGCGGTTACGCTATTTCTATGCTTCGCCGATTCTACGTACGCATTGGCGAATGCGTACTCGATGGCGCGTCGGGTCTACGTGTTATTATTTATGGATCGTAAGTTAAGCGAGAGAGAGAGAGAGTGAGAGAGCTAGTGAGAGAAAGCGAGAGAGAGCGAAAGAAATAGAGAGAGTGAGAATGAGTGAGTGAGAGCGAATGAGAGAGAGCGAGAGCGAGAGCGCTACCAGCGTTTTCAGCATCGATCGTGGTCAACAACCTGTACTGCATGAAGCAGTTCTACTCCTTCTTGATCCTCTACAGTTTTCCTTATACCGGTTTTGCTGATCTTATCTTTTCTATCGACAAGCTCATCATGGTCAAGTATCCGTTCTTCTACCGCGAGATTCCAGTTAGGAGGTTTTACTATGTATTTTTGGGTAAGTTTTCTCTCTCACTCTCGCCTGCTCCCTCTCTCTCTATGTCTCTCTCTCGCTCTCGCTCGCTCTCTCGTTCTCTCTCTCTATCTCTAATTTCCACGCTGCTATTTTCAGTCATAACCCTCCTCCTAACCGGCACGACAATGTGGATAGCGGCCGAATGGATTAAAATGGACCCCTATAACACGACGGTTCTGTGTCCTGCTGACTATATGCCGACGCGATTCCAAATCCCCTCAATTTGGGCACAGCTATGCTTAACAACACTCTCGGTCGTGGCTTACGTTCCAGTACTTGTTTACATCATACGGGCACGGTACGGACCTGTCCCGCTACGGTCTGCTCATGATCGCCGAGGAGTACGACTCGCGATGAGAGGGGGTGAGTTGTAAAAGAGCGCTAGTTTCCTCAATGATCTCTGCTAGCCTGCCCAGTTTCATCCTTAAAATTCCAGGAACTATCGTCCTAGCCGTTCTCATCTCCTATGCCATCCCCGACTGCTTCCGAGTCCTTTGGCTTCCCTTCTTCCTCCGCTACCAGAACATCTTCTTCAACCTGATGACCGCGAAGCCTCTCCTTAATGCGTATTTCGCCGTCACCATCATCAAGACGTTGCGGGAGGATGAGCGACAGCTGCAAAATGTCTCGGTCTCCGTGTCGGCACCAAAATAAATTTCTGAACTGAATTCATGGTTCTAATAGGCTATTGAATCGAGTAAATAAGAGAGGGAGCGAGAGAGCGAGAGAGAGACAGAGCGCGCGCAAGAGATAGAAAGGAAAACCAGAGATCATTTTCGAAGTCTCATTTTCCCCATAAAGGCGTCTGCCGGCGTGAGAAAGAGCACGAGGGCGAGTGAGAGGGAGAGAGAGCGAGAGCGCGCGAGAAAGACAGAGATCGTTAACTGCCGTGGTAATTGCTCGAAATTAAAACAAAACGATCGCACGTCTGGCTCCCACGGACGCACGATTCACGTGCGACCAACTTCCGCAACGAGGTCACCTTTCTGCGAAATACGCCCACCGTAAAGCCCTTCCGCAACGACAAGTCGTCATTTTTGAGGGCATTCCGAGACGATACGCACTATAACTTTTGGCAACCTTGTCTTCCGGCGGCTTTTAAATCCAGACACCCGATGGCTACCTGGGACCTGATCAATATCGGGGTGCAGAATGTCGTCAGTAAGTTCAAGCTTCACTGCAAAAATTGCTGCTTCAGATACCGTAGTCCTTGTGTCGAACATTGGGGTCATCGGTTTCTCGATTTGTCGAGGGTTGGCCGGCCGGAAGGAGCTGGCTGTGACGCTATTTTTATGTTTCGCCGACTGTACTTATGCAGTCACGAATGGGTATT